TTTAGAATGGAAACCCGGGAATGGAAAATGTAATGCAATCTGTTTTATCTTTGAATAAAGGTGGATGACAATACCAGTTACCAGTGAAATTCCTGCTGGAGGTGGGGAACTCTTTACCAGGGTTTAAGAAAGTAATTAGGGCACTGTTCTAGCACAGAAGTCCGTACAGTTCCCGTCTCTCATGCCCCTGCCATCCTCCTCTCTGCAACAGTTTTTAAAACACAGTCAAAGTCAAATAACACTCATTAACATCCACTATTGGTTTATGAAATATTATATACTCAATCCTTTGGTAGTGATTCTCAGATTTGAATTTCCAGGGTCACAGTACATTGTGGATTAGTCATATTAGTAAGCAGTACTGTAGTTTTCCTCATTAATAACATGGAAATGTAACTGTAGCTGAACTGGTCACCCGCTTGAAGAGGTTCTTACACAAGCTGCATGAGGAACAGTAAGTATATAAAGATCTCCACCTGCTGGATTTTCACAGCCAATCTTTTGAGCTAAGAAGAAAAACTATTTATTGTGATCTCCACGTTATTAGTCGTCCAGCCATTAGTCTTATAATTCTTGTTTTAGTATTGCTTAAATCTCATTATTTCACACTATGCACATGCGTTTCTTCCATTATTGGATGTATTGTCCACCTTCTCCTCCTCCTCCATTTTGGCTTCCTGCCCTCTTGTATCAGCTGATGAGGCTGGACAGATACACAACTCCTCTCAAATTCTGTTTTATCATAGCAATCCTCCTTGAACCAACTTTGTCAACACAAATTTATATGTTCCCATTATTGGAAGGAGGTCAACTTTTTTGGCAGCTATTTTGAGAGGTGATCTACTGTGATGACTGTTTTCAAATTCAAACTACCAGTACATTTTCACAGCTACAGTCGTTAGATCATTTTCATGTTGATGCAAAGCCTCTTGTCACTGCTAATCCCATTTTATATTGTATACAGTCCAGTATTCCACAACATATGGTAACAATAGACTTTTTTATTTTGCCTCACCCTCCGTCCCAAAAAAATAAACAGCATTAAAAAAATAAGTGTTTTGCATTTCCCCGACCAACTGCTACATAAACTATTGACTTTACAAATAAAATCCATATTAAAAGCGCATTGGGTGCATAGCCAGCCTTGACCCCTAGGGGACGCCATACGCACGTATTTCACAATTTAGCTGTGAAAAAAGGGCCAGACAGAAATTATTGTAAATTCTTAATCAAAAACTGCATTCATTAAATTTATCTGGTACAAATAAAGGAATTATTTTAACAAGAAATAAAACAGTGCTGCAGGCAGATTCTTTACCAGGGTTTGATAAAAAAGCACACTTGTTTACTTAAGGTGAAGAATCTAACACAGATATTTCATTCTTTAATTTCTTTAGAGAACAGCACTATTTTGTGTTTTTAGAGTCTTTAAGAAATTTAAGAAATCCTCCTGTAATTTTTTATAATTCCAACAGTGTTTACACATTATAATTAGAATATTAAGTATGCAAAGTATGATGAATCCTGGGCATTCAGTAATAGTTTGAATGTTTAACCAAAATAAAAGATATAACATTTTATGCAAATTGTTTCTGTTAGAAATTCTTATCAGGGTCTTCAGGACAAAAAAAATGTTTCTTCTCCCATTTTAATTCTGGTTTTAAAGAATACATGCTCCCTAGCACTGAACACTGTAGTTTAACCTTTCATATTGAGGAGGATTTATTTCAGAGGACCTAGGAGGCTAACTGGAAACCAGCCACTGCTACTGTGTCATACATGATGTAGAATTACTTTATCAGGATAAGATTCCAAAAGTTGTGTGATAAGGAAAACCAATATCAGCAGCAGGCTTGAAAAATTCAGCAGCCTATACAGTATGTATTCAGAATATATTTGATATTTACACAAAACAACTTACTAGCATCTACAGATCTACAGATGTTCTGACCATAATGTTTCCATTGCAGGATCTGATAGCTAGGAAACATCAATGAAGCATTATAAAGACAGTCCCCAAAGAGCAGTATAGGGAATTTAGTTAAATCATTTATTTCTCATCTGCAGCATGGATTAACTCACCTCTTACATACAAACTCATCTGACCAAAGAACATGCAGCTGATTCTGTTGCCTGTGTTGGGCTCATTTTTGTAGTTTGTTTGCATATAAGCAGGTTTGTTTCTCCAGGTTAACAGCCTTTAAATCTGCCTTTATTTTGCCATCTTCAGTCTGAAAAGGTGGTTCCATCTGCTTCCTAAAGCTGAAAAGGTAGCAGCACAGCTTAGACGTTGATTTTATATCAGACCCTTTTAAAGATAGGCTTAAAAATGTCCACCTTAATAGTCTGAATTGCATCAATTTGGAATTCAGTTTTTAATCATTTTATGGACTGAAATTTTGGTAAATTATTTGTGTAAGTAGGATCTGATCCTTACTAATAATTACATGCAAGTTTCACCAAAATTCGATTGTTAGCAGATTTTTTGTTATTTAAAATAAAAAAAAACATGTTTTTTACACTTTTGTTCCACATCAGAACTCAGAGGCAAGCTTTTTCCTGATCAGCACTAGGATAGGAAGAGCTTCAGCTGTTATACTGTTATATTTGTATTAAAAATCTATTTGGCATTGTTTGACAAGAGTAGGGATGTTAACCCCAGTGTCCTGGCTAAATTCCACTTCAGGTTTGCTCAGTTTGACCTACCTAAAGTTTTGCCTTGCAATTGGTAAATTACTTCTCACTTCTCAAATTGCTGGCACAGAATGGCTGCAATGCGACACAACAGAAATCACTCTTCCAATATTTAAAGAGCTTTAAGGTAAAAGAGAGCTTTGCAAACATAAATGATTATTAATTATCTTTATTATAACTGTTATCTATAAAGTGCAATTCATGAAACTCAAACTGTTAGCCAACTTTTCAACATGTAACAACTCAAAACAAAATTATATTCAGTTGTTCAAACTTCAAAGGTATTAACAAAGTTGACCATATGCACCTCTCCAGATTCAACAGTGAAATATGAATTAGAGGATACAACGAGAAGCTAATGGGATGTGTATTTCTGTCTGAGAGCTGGAGGTACTTCCTTACGCAAAGAGTTGTTGATGTCTGGAACAAGCTTCCCAGCCATGTCGTCAAAGCCGATACCATCAATGGCTGGATAAAATATTTGGATCAGTTAGGTACTATATCCCGAATAAGCTAGTTCAGAGAAATGACCTCATTTTGTTTTTTCTGTTCTTAAATAAGAAAACATTAAATAATTCAGTTCTCTAAACTAAAGTTTATTTTCACCACCCTGGTACTGTAAATTCCATGATCATTATGATTAGAAGAAACATGTTTGACACTTGGATAGTTTCCAAACTATATTCAGATACACTGTGGTTTTCTATGGAATTTAAGCAATGAAAGAAAGGCAATAAACTGTGAAAAAAGTATTAAAATGCATTGTGTTTTGTAAAATGAGTATAGCAATCAACAAAAGTGTTCATAGCCAGCAATAATTCTGCTGAACATTGGCATAAATTCCTTGCACATTTCATAATTAAAATGTCCATCACTTTATGGATTACAATAACAAATTGAATAGTATTTCTTGTAATAACAGATTGTGATTTCACTACCTCTAAGAACAGTACTTTTTTTGTTGGTGATCAGGTTTCAAAACAGGTCTACACATATTTCTCTGAAATATGTTGTTTTGTAATGCATGTCTCTAAAACTATTTAGCAAGCAAAAAATACTTCAGATAAACAATTGAACAGATTCATTATTTTTTAGCAATCAAAGAACCATCAATAAAAGCAAGGATAGAGCTTGCATTGTAACTTTTATGTGCTCCCATTCAATACTCAACAGCTTGATCACACAAAAAGACCAAACAAGTTTCTTAATGTTTTCATATTTGTATTTAAGGGATAAAATGGCAATTTAAGTAGCTAAAATGGATATTTTACATATGAAATAATTCATCTGTACCCCCTTTCACACTGGTGAATTGCTGGGTATGATTGTGGGGGGATTTTGCTGTAACATACTGTAGTGGCTTTTATCCATCCATTAATCCATCCTTCTGTCCAGTATTAGAATTCCATTTGTGCTGGTGATGATTGCTGCAATACAGAGCCTAACCAAGAAACATAAGGACACAAGGCAGAACTCAGACAATAAGACTACTCTTTTTGTGGGCAGAATACCAGAGCCACAGAGAAGAGGGACAATTTAGAACAGTCAATCAAACCTAGCTAGCAAGTCTATGGGAGGTGGGAGGAATTCAGAATACTTATGATAAACCCATGTAAACATCTGTAATTGCCTAAAGACTTAACCACAGGTTTGCATTGATCTCAGGACCCAAGACCTGTGAGGCAGCAGAGCTAACTCCTATTTCAATGTGCAGCATCGGCAGAATCTAATTTTCATTATTTCCCATACAAGGACTTAACAGGCTAGGCAATGCTTAGTTCCTAAAATGTGATATCAGCTTTGAGGAGCTACATGCATTGAAAGTTGTTTCAGAAGAATTTTTTAAGATTAAGGGGTCAACCTGTACCTGTTCTCTCAATATGAAAAGGCTATAATGAAATAAATAATGTATCATATAATGAAACACGTCCGTGCTAATTCAGTAGCTCATGAAGTCCAGATTTAGAATTTAAGAAACAATTATATTTCTTAAAAAGCTTTGCTGTTGGAGACGAATGCAGAATAACAATATTTGTCAACTTGAAATGTTGATTAAATACTCATGTTGGATTATATGGATATAAATAATTTTTGTGAACAGGGTAAGCATTCACCTAAATCATGTAATAAGAAAGTAAATGCATTTTCTATTTTGAAAAACCCATTTGGTTGAAAGTTACTACAATTCTAATCTTCAGCTAAATTTCACGGTACAGTCAGATGAGTTAAAGTGTCTTAAAATGAAAAAGAATCAACTGTTTTCTAGATTGTTTTTAAAGGAATCTTTAAGTTTCTTACATACTATACATACATTTAAATGCAAAAGGGAACTCAGTGGGGACAGCACATATTTTTATGTGCATTTGATTTTTTCCAGTTTTACACAAATGCAACAGGTATAAAAGAAAGACACAAAAGTAAATCATTACAGTGGTTTATTTGGTCTACTCTCGACATGCTACAATTTGGTCATTTCTACTTCTGGGGACATATTCACAGTAAATTTCATGCAGCCTGGTTATACATATTGACATCCACAGACATAATGTATTTTTTTTTCATTATCAGATGTTTATATCCATCTGGTATAATTGTCCAGTCAAGGAGAAGTAGGCTACTTACTACTGATGAACAAACACATTTGATCAATATGAAATACATTACCTTATGCTGAGATTTTTTTAAAAATTCACATTTTACAACAGAATCACCTTTCATGATTCTTTGTTTATTAAGGAATCCAAATAAATGCTATCTTTAGCACAATCTGGCACCTCAAGTGCCCATATTTGTAAGATTGACTGACTATTTAAGTTGAGGAATTTAAGATTCTAGAGTCTGAGGAGTCTGATCTTTCATCATAGTCCTCGTCTGCATAAATGGCCTGTTTAGGAACGACTGGGCAGGTGTCCTCCTGAATTGTAATCCTGTGGTCTTCAGAAGGGCGTGTGGGAAGAACTGGGGAACTTCTGAAGACGCTACCAGAAGCACTGGCGAACGGAGAGACGTACTGGGATCGGAGCTGGTACTGCTGCTGCAAAGTCATGGTATTCCACAAAGTCACGTCATTGTGAACGAAGGGATTGGCTTGGCTCCTGGTCAGAGAATTTCTCAGCATTAACGGATAGCGAGGTGGCTGAGGGAATGGGTGCTGAAGAGGCATGGCTAACGGGCTGGGAACCATATTGTTGGAGTCGGTGGAAAACCTTAAAGAATCTGGCACCCTAAACGCAGACCCCACGGACCACTTGGAAGACGACACAGGATAGGATCCCAACGTGTGTTCAAAGAGCTGCCCGTTAGAGGGTAAAACAAGAGCTTCAGGCGCTTCAGTGGAAGACCTTTCAGAGTTCGGTGTGGACCTACTGGAGAGAAGCACTTCTATGGCTCCCACCAAATCACCCCCACACCCTTTCAGAATCAACTCTAGAACTGCCGGCTTGTGACTAGGGAATATTTTCTTTAGTACTTCAATGGGGGGTCTGTTTGCCTTCAAATTGAAAGGGAGGGACACTGACCCAGACAAACCTTCAATCACGAGGTTTTGCTCTCCATGATATTTAGGACTGTCTGCTTTGGTTTCGGGATCATCGCTGCTTTTCTGTAAGGTGTAGTGGCTTTCATCCGGCACTGGGGTGACTTCTGGTGTTTCTGGTGTGTAGCGAGGGTTGGACTTGGGGATGTCAGGTGAACCTGTCTGGTCCTGGTCTTTGTCACTGCTGGTGCCCCCACTGTCTGCTTCAACCTGCTCACTTGGAAGCTCATCATCTGGATCTAGAAAACCAAAGAAAGTATGGATTGGTGAGATTCATTCATACGGCTAAAAGGAAAGAATCTGAATGATGAAAAAAAAATATTATCACATAAAATCAGTAAATAAAAGTTCTGGCACTCAACACTGTCTCAGATAATTAAAAAAGAGCAAAGAAAAAACCTAAAGCAAAAAAACACAACAATATGTATGATAAAGGTGGTTAAGAATTATATAAAAGATGACAAGAAAAAATATATTAAAATATGTATAAAAATAAAGAGATTCCCAGTCCAAATTCAATTAACTAATTTATGTACCTCTTTTTATTGTATATATTGTAATAGTGTATGTGAATATGAGCTTATTCTGCCATCTTTATTTAAAGAAGGCAATTTGTAATTTGTTTCATACAGTAGTACACAAATAATGTAACTAGATAACCTTTCATACTAATGACTCAGCCTCACATTGATACTAACTTTGCAAAGGCACATACAGTACTGGAAAGGAAGCTCCTTTACATACGAGGTTAAAAGACTTTTGGAGTTATTTCTGTCAAACGGAAGGTAATTATTAATATCCATCAGAAACCAGGACAATGAGGCTAGCGCAGGAGTCAGGAGATAAACTTGAAGAAAAAAAGATGTGTTCATTGAGGCATGGATAATCTAGTAATTAAGCCTTAAGTTTGGAAATATTAGTCTAAAACAGAATTTCAAAACTATTTTAATTTTTGGACCAATATAATTTGAAGTAATACCATTATGATTTTAATTATGCAAGTACATGCTTGCCTTGTTTTCACAATTAAATACACAAGTATTCAGATTCTGTAAAAAATTCAGGAATAAAAAAGAAAGGAAAACTTGAACTTGATTCAAACTGTTATGGAGCACTATCATTTTATAAACAAATAGCACCTACAGATAACTACTGTACAGCTTTTGAGATACTTTATCTTCTATGAATTGTTCTCTATATGAAAAATTTATATTGGTTTGGAGTGCTGTACAGTTGTTATTTGTTTATCCTGACTTATAAAGTGTTAGAGCATTTAGACAATATCATAAAAAATAAAGCATGCCAAGTCTCCCACACTTTCGAACTGTATCTGGTAAGGCAAATCCATATAAATCTCTTCATTTCACTAGTGAAATGCAACATTCAAGCAATAGGTTATCAAACTGTCCAAGTACTCTTGATTTATGAAGATTTACTTATTTTTCTAAAAAGCTGTTAACAGAAAGTGCTGACTGGCTGGCAGTGAAGAATTTCTCATCAATGCATTTTGACCATATTTTGTAAACAGATTGCCTGTTGCTTGGTAACATTTCACTTGAGTTTGACCTTTCCCAAAAGTTATTGCTATTACATTCGATTTACACTGTCCGCCCTTGATTACTGTAATCTTTTAAACTATAAAGTTCATTCATCAGAATGAAATCAGTTTGATGGAAATTCAATATCAATTCCTTTTGGTACATTGTTTGGTCCTACCTGTCCCTCCCTATCAATACTTGTGGTTTATATAAATAAAACTAAGAATGTACACTTAAACCATAAACAATATTTTTGTGAGAATAAAAAAGGATGAACAGAAAACCCAAATGGTTTAGTATAGGCACAGTTTATTTGCAGGTTTAAATAATTACCTACAGTAATAATATTTTCTACAAGCTGTATTCTGCATTCAGAACATTTGTATATGTTTTAAACAAATATTTCAAACATTTTACTGAGCAATTATTATGGAGACATTTAAGCTTGCAGTAAATATACATAAATTCTGAAAATATGATCATGATCATGTATTTCCAAGCCCTGAAGTTCACATATTGCACAATACATGTGATATATTTAGAATATTCCCAAATTGAATGTAGTTAAAAAAAATAATCTTCCATTCCCATAACATTATTTTTGTCACTATATTTAATTATATCCAATTAAACTTAAAACGTGAATATATCGTGTATTATACTATTTTTCATATGTTGTGAAAACACACATAACGGACATCAATATTTAATTTTCAATTAATACTTTACTTTACATCTGCTATTATCAGGTACAATTAAAATGTTAAATGCCACACGAGACAAATATTAACGAATTGTATGGTACACGGCAAGCAAACGTGTATTAGCCGCAACATTCTTATCAACAAGGAACAATATTTCAACTAATACAGGGCTGGTTACACGTTTTGATTACTGTCCAAATTCATTCTTATACTAACAATAAACTGCATTTGTATTAAAACTTCCTGATACTATAAGTATTTTCTGTATAATGGAAGTGGACAGAAGTCACATAAAACATAACTGAAATAAACACGCACTTTTTATTTCACTAATAACTTTATAAATATAGAGTGCATTAAAACATATTCTATAGAAAATGAAGCGCCTATTTATAAATAGATTCGGTTTTAAGCTAGCATGTTTTGTCGTTAATTTTTTTATTTTTCTAATGCCAATACAATTGAAAACCGGCAACCAAGAGCAACACAACAAATACAACAAAAGCCTTAGTTCTGTTCAAGTCATCGAATACACTTTTATCAATCGAAATCATTATGAAAATAGTAAGAAAATGCTAAAATTATTAAGTGTTATTAATTGTTGATTTAACAGTTATAAAGTTCACTCTTCATTTCTTTAGTTTACTTGAATAAAAAATATATTAAAGCCCATTTGACATATACAAACATAAAAATAATGTTTTAAACTAGAACTGGAAGCCTCGAGCTAAACGAAAGATATAAAATGATCCTACAAAGTGTGACAGCCTCACAATTTCAAATGTATTTTCTGTTAATTCTATGATCAGATAACAGGGGCATATAGAAACTGGATATTTTAAATTGAAGCGTTTACAGCTTTAGCTCAGTTGGACAGTAATACAGTTTATCGTCCCTTTCTAGGCCTACTGCATACAGTATATGGGCGTGCGTACTGTTTGCTTAACTGAAAATGACAGTTAGGATGGTATTAAAGTGCCTGTGAAAATGCTCTAGCAATAACGGTAATATACTTTTTATATGACAGGCTAGTGCTTAACATTAAAACCAAATGTTAATTAAATGAAACACTAAAGAAAACATAACAAAGAGTCATATGAAAAGTCCTAAGAATTATTTTTTTTTAAAAACCGTCATCACATTCATTAAAACAATAAAAAAACCTTTTAGACTACTAATTATAATAATAGCATTTTCGTTAAATGTCAGGGGAAATATAATTTCAAATATTTTTGGTGTATTTTTCTTGAAAGCGAAGATCCATAGTAAAATATCGTGCGGCAGTCTTACCAGCTGCAGGCTGCCCGTTCCCAGGTTGATCCGAAGTCCATCTTATGCCAATCTCCCCAGTTCTTGGCGGTGGCCCTTGGTTACTTTCCCCGGTGACAGGTGCGTTGAGTCCCGGTAGCGTTCTTAATGATTCTGGAATCAGACTTTCTAAACTCTCGTTCGCCTGCTGCCTTCTGAGGGCTACCTGTGCCGCCATCACCCGTTGCCTCTCGATGATCAGGATACATTTTTCACAGGTACAGTCTTTAAAGCGACAGTAGCGCTTGTGCCCCTTTAACCAGGACAGGACTCCATGGTTCCTGCATCGAGCGCACTTGGGAGTCCTTTGAAGAGGTGCTCTTGGCTGAGAGACTGGACCCCCCATGTAGAGGTAGGGTGAACCGTAGCCATTCATTTTTCTCACAAGGCAAATGTGTTTTTTTTGCCTTAAATTCTACGAGCGTAAGTGCATCTGATAAGCCGTCAGTAGATCGTAGCTGCTACTCGAAGATCAAGGTGCTATGCTGTTAAAAGAACGCCAGCTATACAGGGGATAAGAGGAGTTGACTCCCATATGAAGATCCACCTTTCCCTGGCAATAAAGATGTGCATCAAAGAAGATTGACATGCATTAATGGAAGCAATTAGCCAAATACTATCTCTCACACTACTGACAGTGATCCTGGGTAAAAGCACATTGTTATGGCACTTTTAAGCGCTCTTCTCGAAATTTTAGTGTATGTACACTATATAGTTCATTAAGTCAAATTGTTGACAGAAGTTTAAGGCTTTATCGTGCGAGTTTTCAAGTAATACAAGGAGTATTCAATAATAGGTTATGGCATTTTTTGCTCCACTGCTTAAAAAATCTTGCAGGTTAATGTACCGTTTCTCCATTTCTCTTGTTGTATTTTGTGTAATGGCACCTGCTCAACCATTACGTCTTAATGAAACCCTTTTTTGCCGCCCCCGGAGCGTTTACATTTTGCTCTTTTATAGAAAAAAAAAAACAGTTCTTTATAACGCCGCGCAAGACATAAACAGATTGATTAAAGCACAGCAAAAGAAAATTCCTCTGTGTGTTATGTCAGGTTACGTACCTCTGAAGGATGTTGCCGGTGAATGTTTTAGCATTCGATATTTTTACAGCAGAATTAATGAGCAAATTAAATCTTCTCTGCAGGTCTCAACAGAAGTGCAGTTTCAGGTGAACCTAAAGAAGGGGTTTGAATTGAGCATGCGTATTTGAACCAAGGCTGAATTGAAACTACTTTTTTTCTTCTTACCTGTTATTCTAGCCAAGTCATGTGCAACAAACTTTGAAAAGGACCTGGAAACGGGTCTTTCAAGTGCAATTTATTTTCCTCTACAGAACTAAAAATTAGCTCATTCAAATGCATATTAAAGAGATTTTGACCACTGCTTGCTACCAAGGGGTAGAGGAAGTGTGCAAATTACATGAACTTTTGGAACATACTGTACACTGTACGCCTTAGTGTACTGTGCATTGCACTTCAGGTTGCGGAAAGACCACTCGTTTACTAATAATCCGAGCTAATTGATTTCTGACACTTGAGTAAAGAGAATTTTAGAAAACAATATACAGAAGTATCGAAATTATTAAACTTAGTCGACAATTACTATTTCATTCTTATGAATAATATCTGTTAATCCTTTTCATATATGTTTAAAGTCCATATGATTGTAAAATGTGTGTTCTTCTGCATTGCATGAATGCTCTCAAACACAGTTGGTCAATAACAAAATATTTTTTTAAATCATCTTTTCATGTCTGATATGCTTCTGCAGATATTAGTCACGCTGAGACTAGCAAAGTGTATTTAATGTGCGTCTGTGTAAGAGATTGTGTCAGGGCATTTAGCTTAGCTAAATAATCAAATTTATGAAAAAACATGTATGCAATACCAATACTTTAATACCATCTACATAAGGATAATTTTTTACTTCTCTTCCTTTTTAAAACGCATATTTATTAACACAAATTTATATACTTCCATTAAAATATATTACTATTACAAATAAATGCACCTTCTATTAGAAGAGATTCCATTAGGTGGGATGCTTAAGACCGATCTTTAAAAACGTCAGTTTTTTCATAATTCCAAAAATGCGGATGGGTGAAAACTCGTCTGTGTTTCAGATACACTGTAGACTGCACCATCTCAGAAAGGAATTATACAAATCTGTTAGGCTTAGTACAGCATTTATACTAGATTTCTCTGATATCAATTAAACATTTCTTCTGAGGTATGCATAAGACCTCAATAAATTGAGTTCACATTTTATTATTTAACTTGTTCCCTTAATCTCTTAACTGCTTGATAGAAGGTTTCTGCCTCCTCTTCTATGTGACAGCATGTCTGTTCGAAACTCGGGTAAGTGGTTAGGATGCTAAAATGTCCCCTGCCTGAGTGCCCATTGAAACACAACACCGGACACCCCCGAGTCCCATTTCTACCCTTAAAAGGGTTTATTCAAGCAAATAATGGGATCCCAGCAGAAAGCCTTTCAGAACAGGGGGCCATGGTAAACTTCACCACATGAACTCCGTTTCCAGGGCTATTAAGCTTTTAATTGGAAAATAGCAGAGGAAATTTCAAGGTGACTATAATGCGCTTGCAGTTTGTGCAGAGCGAGTAAATTTGAAGATACTGGATGTGGGAGTCACTGGTGTATGTGTTCAGACCGGTAATGCATAATGAAATTATTTATGTTTTATGTCACTGTTTGTAGAGTGTATAAAAAACATACATAAAATTCTGTTCCCTGCGAAAGGTGACAGAACACTGTTGTACGATTTTTGCGACTATGTCTTAAATATTTACACTTGAGTAAAATTCCATTACTATTCACTCTTAAATGTGCTTGATTAAATATTTAATAAACTTAGAGGACAATGAAGCACCTCTGTTAAAAACATAATTTTGTTTTACCATTGAAATGATTATAAGGATGAATTATATTATAATACTTATTTACTGAGCAATTAAACCATTCTTTGACAGGGCAATCTTCGTTTTCTTAGTTCTTAAAAATAAAAATACTGTTTTCAGAATGCAACGTACTATTTTGTGACAAGTAACATATTGTAAATTATTTTTCTTTTCCTCTCAGTTTTGTTTTTGTATTATGCAGTTATAATTTAGCAATTAGGTAGTAAAACCTGATAATTGGGCAGCCTCTGCTCACAAACCACCTGATGTGTACAAAAAATTACTAGATTATTAAGGCTTCAAAGGCAACTAATACTGAGTGAACACAGTCCTCAACAGAGGGAATGTGGCAATACAGGTGGTGACATCAGAATGGGTCTTGATCAGGAACACTGTTTTGTAGCAGAATGTAGAACATATTATTTTAAGGATATAAAATTTATATTTTAAAATTATAAAACGAACATTTTAAGGATTATAAGCATCATATCACATATACAATTAACGTCCTTAACATACTGTATGTTCATTTGCTTTATGTGGTAGAGTACAGTGTTTGTGGGCTCAGCTTTTTATATATTTTCAATATTTTGTAATATTTTAAATCATTCACTCTTGTATATACTGTATTGGATTATGTCAACATGCATTTGTGGAAAAAAAGACTAAAAAGATTAAAATAATTGTTTTTCAAGACAGAACCAATGAAACTTTGGCTCAAGTTTGCACTTTCAGATAAGTGATGGAGAGAGTCATCAAAGTCTTGCCGTAAAGGCCATACCGACCATTACCTTAACATCTTGACAATGTTACTGGCTAATGATACTCAATATTGTACTGATGTCATTCTATTTGAAATAAACAATACAACGTATTGAAGTGTTCTTTATTTTGTTCTCCATTTTGTTGATAGCACTCTACACGATTTAACAATACTACTTTGCAAAATACAAGCTATTTAACCATAATAGTAAATTATTAATTGTCCAGTTAAGATTTTACTGTAATTTAATTGAAAATCCCAGAGAAAAATAGTCTTGATTGTTCTCCATACAAACCAAGCAAAAAAAAAAAACAACACCTTGTGCATATGGAGTCTGAATTCCACTGATGTTCAAGGTGCTTAACATTTAATTTGATATGTGTGGAGACCTATCAAATTTGGCTTTAAGCTGCAGGATGGTGTCAGAATTAAATGACCTAGAATTCCTGATCACATTGTAAAATGGTAAGGTTAAACAAAGAGCAATTATTAAAATCCCCACAGCAGTTCAATAACAGAACCCACATATTCTACTTTTCCATATATACATTTCTGCCTTTTTAAAAAAACAAAACTTGTACACCTGCAATATAAAATGAAATGAAACATGGTTTAAGGATCAATCTTATAGGCCCAGGTGGGCAAATAAGGGGGAAATCATTGTAGCATTTTATGTGGTGATAGCTGCCACTGCCTCCTCTGTGCTATATCATATTGGCAAACAAAGCCCTGATGCTATTAGTATACAGTAGCTGATGGTTACTTCAAAGGATATAATTGTACACTACATATTTGCTCAAGCACGTTTCTATTCTGTCTTTTGCTGCAAAACGTTTCCCCATCCTGAAAGGCAGAATCACCAGCCATAACCCCCATATTCCTCTGACTCAGAAGCAAGGTACTAACAAATGTGCAATGAGATACCCACGCTAAAAGCACAATGCTGTCATTGGTTATTTTCAGCATGATTCAAAAACATTTATGTAAGTACAAATCTATTAAACAATTTACTGCTGGTTTTCTGCTTTACTTCAGATAAGCAGAGGGTAATTTTGAACTCAGCAGATCAGAGTTCTCCAGGAATTTATGGTGCCTTTTATTACAGTAGGCAAAGAGTAAATGATCTCGAGATTATTTCAGGGATGTATTCTAATTAAAAAGTGTAATACTGTATTATTTTGAAATAGGAAAAGGTTGGCATTAAAATATATATTCACTAAATAAAACACATTTAATGCCACTAGGTAATTGTTGTGCCCTTTTATATTAATTAGAGTGAACATTACAGATTGAAATTTCAGTACTTTAAATTATTACTCAAAACATTTCTGGGTTTGGAAACTTAAATATATTAAAATTATGCAAGGCATCCGGTTGCAGGGTATATTTATAATTGTCAGAAAACAATCTGAATCAAAATGTGATTTTTTTTTATTATTGTGTTGGATGACCAGTAGACTGCCTTTATCCTCCCAAAGAAGGAGTTTTTAAAGGTATTTAATGATATCCTCAAAACATACTATAGAAAGAAAATTCATTTCATTTTCTGAATCTATTGGAGTCTTTGACATTCATATTAACGTAATATGTTAAAAAATACAATATGTGCAATAAAGTTCACAAAACTTGGAAAATACTGAATTTGAATAAATCCTTTCACACATTGAACAATGAAATATTTTGTTCTCTTTAATTTTCTGCTGCAATAAATAAGTATTTTGTTAGACTATGTGAGCATCATTAGATTTTTACAGAATTTCAGATGACTATCAGATCTACTCAACTCAATCAAAGAATTCAGTCAATCTTTTACAGGTCAGTCCAGTATATTGATCCTATTCTTCAGAAATTCTGTTGCTGATTTAGCAATGTGCTCTGGACTATTGCCATGCTGATTATGTAACTATATTTAATACTGTAAGTCTATGACTAATACAGATGAGGTTACATAGGTGCATAGATTCAGGTGCATATTTTGCAACGTTTCTACATTTGTTTTTGTAATAATCCAAAAGTTTCCAGGCTCTAAAGCACTAGAGATTTAAAATCATCCATCTTCATACTGAAAGAATATTGATGAAAAACCTATTGGACTATGTATATTTTGGCAAATTGTATCGACTTTGTTCACTGTTGTCTCATCAATAGGCTTTCATACCTATTGACATTCTCCAGTTTCCAAATATCTTTATAGTCTTTCTTATGCTTTTATTTATGCTATTAGTATTTTCATTTAGCAAATCTTTAACCATTTTTATTAACCAACAAATATAATATGATTTATAGTCTCCTAGATCCAGGGATTTATTTTCTTGTGCTTGCCAATAACTAATTCCCTGCCACATTGTACATGTTTGTCTTTGCTGTCGTATTGCAGTTTACATTATGCAGTCCATTACGTAATTTTTTTTCCTTCCATTTTTAAAACTGCTTGTTTAAAAACTGAGTAGTCACGTATCTTCATACTGGATATTCTGAGTCAGATAAATCTTTAAACATATGGCAAAACTGTGGATTATAAAAAGTGTCAACCAAGATGGAGGCCTGCTATCTTCATGCAAAACCTTTGTCATTTTTTTTTCTTTTTATGAACTGCTGCACCAATTAAATTGAATCTGGGTAGGCTTAATTTCACTTAGACATCCTTCAGAATTTAATCTCCAAATTGCAGCAATACTTTATACACCCACAATAGATCAGCAGTTGCTCTGTGAAGGGGGCCATACTTGTATAATTTAGCCAATTAACTGCAAATGTGGTACAGCAGTTATTCTAATCACAAGGGCAAAAACGTTGGTAAAATGAAGTTCCTACATAAACCAGGATGGCCAACTGTCTGTTATTTTGTCCTAAACTTGGTAAGTATGTACTTAACATATGATGATCCTGAATAAACCTCAACAACTGTCTGATCTTCATTTTGTTTCTAAAATTCGATCTATTATTGTCTCAAGAACTGAATCATCAATGACAATCTGAATTTTGACACTCATATCGACTTCAGAATCACACCTCACAAGTTGCAGCAATATTTTATACATCCATACTGGATCAACAAAACACTGCTCTTTTTTTTAAAAAAAAACATTGGCTCAATTAAATCCAAACTTTAGGAAGGTGTCATTGTAGTAACAGTACTATTAACATGGTGTCAATGGGACTCTTGCAGACACCAAAATACACCGAGAGCCATCTCACTGCTTCAAGCTTCCTCCATTTATTCTCAAAAGCCAAATTGCTGCTGTGATAGTTACAGACCATTGGGCCAATTTGATCTAATCTTCATATTATTAGTTTCAGCAATTCATTCACACTTACAGTATAAACTAAGTAGATAGGAATTTTCTTGAAGGCCTTCAAAACTGCATGCATTTTTCCTTTTATTTTATATTACTGTATAAAACTATACATATAAGCTTGATTTACAGTATGCATGATTTCCAAGAGAAAACAAAAGCTTTTGTGTTTGACTTGTTTGCTTTTAAATTAAATACCTATAGAAAAGCGTCTATAGCTTTCAGTGATTACAAGATCCAAGATTGATAATACCCAGTAAACAAAATTATTTTAAAAATTCCCCGAGAGGTGGTGCATAGCTTCTCAGAGTTCTGCTGAAGTTATGGTTGCCATGAGCTTGGCTCTTCCTGCGACTTCCTGGATGGCTTCAGACAGCAGATGATGGTAGCTGTCACGATATTAGTCCCCCCTCCTTAAGGGTGCTCCAGCCCTTTCTCTTAAGACTTCATTCTCTGCACCTGTTTCCCATTCCCTGCCCACCTTAAAAGCCAGGCGCTGACGCTCTTCCGGGCTCTGCATCTGATTTCCATATCGTGCGAGTCCGGGACCTGGAAGCGCCTGGTCCCGTTAAGGTTTTAATCTCGGTTCCCGTACCCGTTCCCCGTCCGCCGGTTCCGACCCGGCCTGCGTAGTTTTTAATTCTCTGTTCTGATGGATCTCCTGGTTTTGGACTTACCCTTGCGTTTTGGATTTTCCCTAAGGACTACTCTCGGATTGTTCGCCTCGGCCACACCTCCCCCGTGCACTAGCGCACCTTGGACACGCCCCCTCGTCTTCAGCCCCGTTTTCCTGCATGACGTTTCCCTAGTGTTTCCCCACTCCGTCGGACTGTGTCGTCCGCATAGGGTCCGGAAAGAACTGATCGTTACAGGTAGCGAGGGATACAGCACTCTTGCATTTGGCGCTTCCCTTCATGTAAAAAGGTGTGAAGCTTGCAGGAAGATTTTGCAATCTGCACTACTACCTTTTGGGGCTCAACGTGGAGCCGAAATCAGAACATTAGATCTGGAAGCACTGACAAAGACACTTCCCTGTTCAGAAGTTCTGTGCAAGTAACTGCTTTGTCAGATTTGCTCAAACCAGTTTATTTTCAGAGTACTGCACTCCAGACTACCCACAGTCACTGACTGGCTTTGATATATAAGACTTCCATCAGATCTTTCATATCCTCTCCTTCGTTCAATCTACTAACTACATCCTTCTTTACAGTATTAACTTTTAAATTCTGCATTTGTGTTATAGGGTCCCATTCACTTTGTTGAGGGTTATCCAAACTATCAGGTTATGGTCAGGTTTTCGTTCTGTCAGTCAGGTGAGTTAAACCAATAAATCAGCCTAATTCAAATTGCGTCTCTACTCCATCTACATTCAAATTTGACTGATCTGGTTATGGATGCCCTCATACTAAAATGATGTTGGTTGGTGCCTGAGCCACTGCTGTACAGCCACCTGGATCTCCTTGTCATCTGATTTAAATTCAAATGAGATCTGAGTTATAAGCCTGGTAAGGTAACTGTTCAAAGCCAAGCTCTTCCATGCACTGCTCTGTGACTTCTCATCTTACTTTTTCACATTGTAATAATAATGTCTCATACCACTATAAGCGACCTTCTTCCTAAGAGCAGGTTTATACAGAGAAGGAACATTCTGAGCTCTGGGCTGGCAATGAAATTCAGATTGTACCACAGGAATACGTCAATGGACAACCACCATTGTTTTATTACAAGGGCAGTATAACCTTATGAAACAGTGGCAGAAGTGTTCAGATGTGTAAGAGGACTACCGCAGCGTCCAGATTACTTTATTTCAAATTCCATCCAAAGTCTTACATTTATTATTACATACTGTACATACATTATTTCTTTGCCCATTTCTTAGTCTTTTTTAGATCATCTAAAAATACTGATCATCATGTATTGTCCTAATTTCATAATGGATGTTCACCAAATTAAACTAATTCCAAGAGATACGAAATGACTCAGAATACTTCACAGAAGATAGTAAGATAAGAAAAGTAATGTATCTATAGAGAGTGGGAATATTCAGACATAATCATAACATCAGCAACAGAAATGTAAAACGTTTTTTAAGCTTAGAGGAATTTGCATTTACAACATCACCTAGAGTGTCCATGTATATAGCAGGGCATTTCTATGAGCAATTTACTTTGTTCTCATGTCCTGGAATTTGAACCAATGACCCGCTGGCCCTAAGCCCAAACCTAGTTTTCCATGATTCTGTCCCCTTACACAATGCTCAGGAAATACACAGAAACTAAAAATTGACAAGTAAGCTGTCATGGATCTATGAACACAAAGGAAAATTACAGTGTTTTCAGTTTAAAATATCAAATCTAACTACAAACATAGTCCTAAAATGGGATGTGATAATCCCTTACTGTAATGCACACTTTAACTTTATAGCATCGCCTTATACAGCTAACAAGGTTGTCCAACAAGCTTGAAGATGACAAAAGCATCTCAAGGGTATATTTCAGCTCTAAAATGCTCAGGTAGGTTATTTGTAAATGTAAACACATCTCTGCTACAGACCAGTGAAGGACTGACTTTCAAAGCTGTGGAGGTCTGTGCAGCCAAACCAGGACACCACCATGTTTGTAAGGGTCCTGCTTTGTAGCTTTATGAGGGTGATTTTGTTCCCTTCTCTTGCCATTCAGTAACTGTCATTCATTGCCTTCCTGGAAGAACCTGAAGTCAAATACTATGGAGAGAAGAGCAACAGCCTTGGTACCTATCCTTGTGAGACTCAAATTTTACATTAGCCATCTAACCCATGCAGCTCCTCTTATTGATACCGCTGTAACCTCTACAGAAGCCAGATCAGAATCCAGCTCCTTGGAGCATTATTCATTCGCACACCCTTAGCTTTTAAAAATCAATGGCTACAGGTTACTTTGTCAAAATCTTTCTAAAAAATAATCAATCAATAATATTGTAAGCCCTACAGGTGTCATACATTTTTGAATATTCTCCAAACAATTAAAAGACATTTGTTCAGCAACACCTCTCACTATAGTGTTGATGATCTTTAGTTGGAGTATTAATAAACTGGAACTGTATCATGCTTATTGGTCCATAATTCTGGATTCCATCATTTTACATTATATACATGCTAAACCTTAAGAGACTTCACTATAATGATACTATACTTTCTACTTATATCTGCAGGATTCTACTCATTTTCATATTAATTGAATGCAAATAATCCCCAATAGATATATCCCTGATCAACATTTAGACAAAGATACAAAAAAAGTTCACACCTCTGAATTCTGGAATGCAATTGTTTATCATTACTGCACCAGCCTTGGCGAAGTCTGTTTTAACTATAACCCACAATCCATGATTCATAGTGTGATCGAGGAAAAAAAAAACCCACTGACACTTTCTTCTAGTCTTGTACAGAACACAGGAACAGCAACAGAAAGATGCAGCTCTGCAGCAGCAGCAGCAGCATGCTGACAACTGTGATAAAATGGTCTTCCTTAACTAAACTCGTAAAGCACAGGGCAATAAAACTCAATCTTCTGTAAAATCCAATTAAGTCATTATCTGACTGATTGTATCTTTAATTGAAAACAGAAGTGACAGTAAATTTCTGTGATATATCAGGATCAATCGATACTGCTGTACGATTCAGTCTCAAGAAGTGATTTATAATGTCAAACCTATATAGGTAACTCCACATTATTCTCTCTAAAACCACTGGTGGATGAAATTAAGAGTAAGTGCATTTAATAAAAAACAAGATGGTCAGGTTATTGATTACAACAGATGGGGCGAAATCAAATGGATGTTTTCAAAGCACAGAGCGAAGAAAATACAAGTAATTTTCTTTTTCTATTTCATACTGCACTCCCTAAACACATATAGTGAAATTCAGTCATCAATAACATTTTTATTTCCATAAACTTGGTAGCTACAATAAACAGATGAGTTTTCCAAATTACTTTTTACACTTCTTTATTAAAACATAACTATTAAACCAGTCTTGTAACACACAATCACATATTAATCATAGTAAAACACTTCCATTTGGAACTGCAATCACCTCTGCTTTATTCTGAATTCAACATAGAACAAAGAGAAATTCTGTTAAAATGTTTAATTAAAATAACATCCATATATTCAGGCTTACTGTCATAGCTTACATTTAAAACTGCTGAATTTATCATCAGAAAGGGTTGGGCTCAATTACCATACCATTCGATGAAAAACTAGGAAGGTATGATTATAAGGTTTGCACATCTGAATCACTCACAGCAGTTGGAAAAAGAACAGCAATATGAACAAAATATTCCCAATAATAAAGAACAGAAAATATACTAGCAAACAAATGAAAAAGGCCCATCTGACAATCGCATATATAGAAAACAAACTCAAAAGAAGATTTAAAAGGAATGCTATTTTTGTCTATTAAACTTGTAATTAAATGCAATTTCCATACACTGCCACAGTTCACAAATAGCTGAATTTCTCATTAAATGTGTTGAACCGAGTTTCCATACCTTCTTAATTAGGAACGTAATTTTAAAGGTTCACATCAGCAATAAACAGAACATTAGCAAAGTACAATAATGGAGACAATATCTACTTTCATGCATTCATCTGTCAAAGGCAGACCTAAACAAACAAGAGAACTCTCAAAAGGACTTCTGTACTGTAACAGGCAACAAGGCAACATGCTGAATGAAGTTTATTTAAACAACCTGCTACAATGATTTACGACTTTTCCAGATCAAAGAGATGAGGGTTCCAGATAACTCCAGTTCAGAACTGTGGTAGCTCTCCTGGCTACAACCTCACACATCACTTGCTGGCTCCCTCTAGGATGGAATCCGCTGTAAAGGCACCAGACTCTGAGCTGGTCTCACACTCTTGTTTGGCATTTTCAGAGCCCATCAGTGAGCTGTTGGACAGGTAGGTCAGCCCCATATCCTGGCTAGTGGATGGCAGAAAAACTTTCAAAAGAGAAAACAAACAAGGCAGATGTTTTAATTTGAAATGTTTTTTTTTTTACAATCCAATTACAAAATCCCGTAATTTTGCTTGATTACTTTTTACATGACAACATATTAAAAATTAAATACAGGCGTTTTTTTAGCTGCATATTTCAGCATCAGCGTTTAGCTCAGTATTGATATGCAGATGAGAAACAAAAAAGGAAATGCAGTATCTTTAATGTAAATTGCTTACCATAAACCTTAAAATGACTAGGCAAAAAAAAAGAAACCTCTGCCTTACCTTTCATTAGGAAAATGGATCTTACCTTTCATTTACTTATTGCTATACTTTTGACCTTGACAATCAAACCATCTTAGAAAGTGGATGAGACCATGTATACTGTAAGCTACAACTAGTATTACTCACAAAGTAGTGACTATGCACACTGTATGAATGACTATCTCAACAAATGATGCAACTCTGGACCTTGTTAAATGCAAATACTGTGGATTTAACTGTATGAGTCACAACTGTTAAATAACGTTCTATGGAGTGAGACAGGTCTTTCTAAAGAGTGTTCCTGATCAAAAATAAGACTTTGAGGTAAAGATTCAGTTATTCAGTTAATCTAAGATGCTCTGATTGTTCTGTAGTACGAGTTGGAAATTAAAGCTTGAGTTAAAAGCATCCTTATATGCTCTTAGCAACACTGGTTTTCCTTCTGTCCTTCCTTCATCAGCTGTTTTCTAATCACTGTTGCAGATATAAAGAAAACAAATATTCCTTCCTCAATGCTGTCCGACATTCCAAATCTAGATGTCAGCAACCATCTACATACAGTAACTGGACGAGCAACTGCTGAAAAAGCACTAAAAATAACAAAAAAAGGCAAGATGAGTTCCAGAAAAAAAAATCATTTAAAGACACAGGAATACTCTGCATTGAGAAAATACAATTTTCAAATACAGGCTTCAATCAATGTGACTTGCTAGGTTACTGAATGTCAAATTTGTTAATTGAAAACTGAAAGCAGGCTTTACAATATGGTACAGGAAATACTGGCACAATATCAAAGTATAGGACCTAGACTACAAATATGACCCTAGGTGCAAATTTTGTCTGTAATAGTTAATTAACAGTCGGTGAAAACAAATTTCAGATAAATTTAATGCAGTTAACAGACAATTTTTAAATATTCATTGACAAGAAATCTTATAGATCTTATAGAAACTGTAACTACACAAATTATTCTACAAAATGATACTACTGTATATTCTAGTCAGTAGATGGAATACCAACTGAGCACAGGTTGATTAACTACTAACACTTAGTGTCTTGAAAAATAATTAAACTGGTGTTGTTCCACAGAACTCTGCTGCCACTAACACTGAACTATGAATAAAAAAACCTGAGGGAATTTAGAACTGTCAGGCTAGGTACAATATTACTGAAAATGATAACCTAGTACAGCTACTGTCTCATACTGTACGTGTACCATTATTGTGGATAAAAAGCCCATTTTAGAGACCTAAAATCTCTATAATTTTTTTAAAGAAAACAAGTTAAAAACAGTTATTCCTTTTAACAAAAATACAAAAAAATCACATGTTTGGTCAGAATCTTTCCTATGAGTAACTAAGTGAAGCAAAAAAACTTGTTAAATATAATTTGATCATACTAAAAGCTTTTTAGTCAAGTGCAGATTATTTCAAAGCATCTAGATTTTACAGGAGGGACTTTTCTGGTGGTAGTGGGTTTACCTGAAAAACTAAGCCTCATAAATACACGTAACATAAAAACAGAATTGTTTTAAATTTACAAATGGGAGTCACAACTGGATAACAAATGCAACCGTTTCAGGCTATCGTGAAAAATGTCAGCTCTTAAAACCTAGCAGCACAATTGCTTTGCAGAGAACCATTTTACAGTAAAAATCTATTTATTAAAAAGGCAATTCCTGCATCCCGTCAGTGCCTTTACCAGCTCAATTCATTATGGATATGAGAACAAAAAATATTACTGTGTTAAAATTGTCTATGAAGTTACAAGTCAAGGAAGATACATGAACCCAATTCCAAGGATCCTGGCCTTCGTGACCCTGAGCAAATATCAGCTGAGTTCAAATCCACCCACAGGCCCCTTTTGCTCCTGTCTGCCATGGATGTAATTAAGGAGCAACTGTGGTGGGTAATTTTTCTCCTCATTAACTTTCTGATTGGTTTCTGCCTCAGGATTCTGCCAGACTGCAGTTTGTCACCAATTCCAAATGGGCAATCGTTAATACTAATGTTTGTGTAACTAACTGTATGGGCTTTTCATGGCTTCTTGTACAGCAATAACAGTGAAAGACTAGATTAGCCATCCTGTGTTAATTCACACTGTATTCATCAAGAAGAAATCTATGATGCAATTAGCAAAATGCATTGGTAGCCATGTTGTTAAGTCATTTGTTGGAAGCTAAATCACAGCAGGCTGTATACTCTGCTGACATGTTAAGTGTCACTGCTTATTGTGTTTGATTATCTGCACTGTACAATTTAATACAGATTACTGTCAAGGGGTTCAATGGCATGAAAAATAGCATTTTCTTATGCTGTATTCTTTTTTCTGTGACATTCTGAACTTTCTGGACAGTGAAAGAAATCCTACACAAATCATAAAAGCTACATGTACTGTATGTGTAATCTGAAACTAGCATTTCTAGTAATATTCCTTGAAATACTAGAATGACTAAATTATGATATTATCACTTAATGTGATTGCAAGACAATTTTAGTTTATAAGGTTATTAAATGAAACTACAAAATATTTACAGAAACATTTAAATTATTTTTTTCCACTTATTTCCCCTTATCACAAAGTCTTATATAAATTTATAAGATACATTTCTGATTTTCAAAGACCATACTCAGTCTAATGTAAAGAAGTGATAGATGACAGAGAGATCGATCAGGAAATCTTTCATGTTGAAGTACAGAAAAGTATGAGACAAAGAAGCCTGCTAGCATGTTGAAGTGAGAACAATTCTTTGTGACCAATAGTTTAAATAATTATGTGTTTCTTATTAAAACACTACAGAAACAAGAGAAGGCTTTATTTTTGACATTCAAAAGAAGCAATTTCCACTGATGAACTTTTGCCCTTTTCACGTTATTCCGATTATCTTAAATTTCCAAACTATTAAACTGTCTTTGTGTGGTTTTCGGGGGGTGATGGGGGGTGGACAAGCCTCAATAATTTCTGGCATTATGAACAAGGAACAAAGGCACAGATGTGAAAGGAGATCGTAATTCAGCCTGATCTATTGTGGATTAGCTCTTTCTTGTTCAGTTCATACCTGCACTTCTAGTGACAAGGGGCTCAGGAGGGGTTTTAGATAACACTTTCCTTATGAAACAAATAAAATAATGTCAAAAGACACATGTATTGCACATATGTATACTAATACATGTGGATACATGAGACTGAAAGTACAAGTAGTTTTTTTCTTGTTTTAACAATATGAAAAACAAAAGCACTCCCTGCACACTGTATTACACAAAACTCAATTTACTGCTAAAAAGGCCAAAAGAATCAGCTTTCTGGTATAAAAAGTGAGTTTTATACTCCACAAAGTGCAGATGCCTTCTTTTTCACTTTGATATATTACTCCTACACGGAGTTTAATTAAGTGGGCAGATGTTATCGTTTTTGATTGTTTTAAAAATGTAAATGTGAAGTTGTAGACTTGTTACTATCAATTATTTTAATACGAGATTTCAGCTGTTTGCGGACATTGAGGTTAAACAGTCTGACAAAAAAAGCAATTCTAAAAGGAATTAAAAGAATTCATCAATGTTGGTGAATATACAAATATACTTTATATCAGAGTTGTTTTAACTACTTACCATTACTTAACCGAAGAACAGTCCTGGTCCAATCTAGTGTTCACCAAGAATGACAATAATGTCTGCTTTAATCATTTCAACAGTGGCAGAGCTTAATGATGCAGAAAAATAAGTCATACAATGACAGAGACCAGTGCCTGAAACTGACTGAGACGATTGCCTTGTTGATGTTGTTAAAGCCAATGCATATTCAAACTATTTTTTAAACCAGCACTTTCTAGAGAGGATTTCTAAAGCATTTTTTTAACGGTTCAAATCAGTTAATTTAATGCTCCTGAGAAAGATTAAGCTCTATTAGATGTGACCAGTTGTATCTCAAAAAATTATTTGCAGCATTACACATGACTGATTAAAGTTTCTGGGTTAATTTTCAGTTTGTGTGAAACAGATTACAATTTTTAATTAAATCGCCAAATCTTTAAAATTATGACAACTATTAATTGCAGACATAAACAAACAATAAGCTGACAAGTTCAAGAAAGTATAAAAATAAGTGGTTACTTCAGAGAACCTGATTAGTAATCCTAGCCCCTAGGTTCAGGCTTGCCTATATTATTGTTAGGTAGTACATGCGTAAGCAAAATTAAAGCATATGAAGTCACGTGCTCATTACTGATTATATACAAGAAAGTTCTAGAATCTGAAATCAACAGACTTAATGTAATCTTCCCTGCAGCATTTCAAAACAGATTTTTATAGAATTTCCATGCAGCAGACTTGTATAATTTTCCTAGAGAGAAATGTGATTTGCTATGAACTGTTATGAAACACTGCTTAGGCACTTCTAAGGAGTAGAACTGGTAAATATAAGGTATATCATTAGCAATGTTTAGCAAAGTTCCTTTTGGAAACTGCATTGCAGTGCACTGCAGTGCTGAGGCTGCTAAGGAATACTACTCAGGGAAAGTCCAGTTCAATCTCAGTCAAAATTTGAGACATTGTTTTTGAGTACAGTGTCTCAGTTGTGAGTTATCTATATCTATAACACAACTTTTATAAAAATCTAATACTAGGGGAGTCCTAGGAGTTTAGAAGGAGACAAAATAAAGAGTATGAGGGTAAGAATACCAGTAGTCAGAAAAGGAAAATGGCTGAAAAAAAGCGTATAATACTAGAACTCCAAAAATGCT